TATAGACCAGTGATGTATAGGTGGTGTTTCCCTTAGTGGAAAGGCTTGGCACCAGGGTTGTTTCAGGCTTCCAGTTTTGTAATATTTGTATATATACAACAATATCTTAGGGAAGAGACCCACCGTAAAATTAATTTGTTTTATATACTTCTTTTGTTTTTCAAGCCTTTTATTGTATTGTCAAAAGACCTCAAGTTGGTGTTATACTTACTCCAGGACCTTGTTTGTGTAATTGGTTAGGTCAGGTCTTACCAGCCTGCTGTGCTGTTTCTTCTTCAGAAACAGATGCCATCTTATCATTTTCTGCTATCTTTATTTTTAACTGTTGTGGCTTGCTGAGTCATGTTGAATCAAAGTCACTGAATTTGGAACAAGTTCAATATTATTTCCTTCAAGGATTAACTCATCCTTCTGGACTTGAGGGATAGAACAAACAGTACCCATCTTCATCTGAACCCTATGAATGTATTTTCTATCCCAAGAAATTTTCGATTTCAAAAGAGAACTGTTCTCCTGAATAACCACGTTGATGGGGAAGTGAGCATCCACAGAGCTCAGTAAGCGAGCCCTTGCTCATACTCTGTACAGGACTGCACATAGCGTGAACGGCAGCCAGTTCCTTTCTATTTCCCCACCATGTGTCAAGCTGGAGCCTCTTCTTTTTCTTTCTAAGGTGACTGAGCTCTACAGTGATGTGACTGACGTTCCTCCAGAGGATTCCTTCATTCCCTTTCACAATAACTCTGTATCTCTTCAGTGATGCTGATGTTTTCTGGAATGTTGACAGTCTAATTGCTGAGAATGGTCTTTATTCATGAAGTAAATGTGTTAGCCATATGCCTCTTATGCACATAGCCTGAAGATAATTTTATATGATAATTTTAGTGTATCTATTATTTGCAACCCCTTATATGAAATCAAGTTGTGGAATTTTCTATTTGGAGTATCATGTTGATGTTTAATAAGTTTTGGGTTGGAATTTTTTAAAAGATTAAAAAGTTTGAGAGAGAGAGAGAGAGAGAGAGAGAGAGTGAGTTTGTGCACATGAGTGCAGTGCCCATGGAGGTCAGAAGAGGGCATCAGATCCCTGGAGCTGAAGTAACAGGCAGTTGTGAGCCATTCAACCTGGGCACTGGGAACTGAGCTCATGTGCTCTGCAAGAGCAGTAAGTGCTATTAACTACTGAGCTATCTCTATAGCCTCTGGATTTGGGATTTTTGAATTAGGAATGTACCATTTGTACCTTGAATATATCCTTAGTATTAGGTTGGGACTGTAGCAGTTAATGTCTCTTGAGTTATAGACAGTGCCAGCTTTTAGTTTTTTAAAAACATAGTTCCTATTTATTTTCAGGTACAAAAAGTGAAGGCAATTCCTGTTCATTTATTGATATTTTCTCATTTGTGTCTAAGAGTTCTCATGTGCTTTCAGGATCAAAGTATATAGCTGAAAAAATTGAGATTTCACAGAAACACACAGAAGGAATTGTGGCCTCTCAAGATATGTGGACACAGTGTATTACTAGTGCTATTCCCATAAGCAGCTTCTTCAGGATTCCCATTCTGAGTTCCTGCATTGCTTCATTTTGAGTCCTCTAAGCCTTTGGTTATCCATTCATCAGACATTTGAGCCACTCTTCACTGACTGGAAATTTTGTCATCTTTTCAGTCTCACACACATTCACACTTACATCTCACACCCTTGTCCTACACCCATTCACACCTGTCTCACACCCTTTCACACTTCTGTTTCACACCATTCATACCTGTTTCACATCCATTCACACCCTTCTTTTATACCCATCACACCTGTCTCACACCCATCACACCTGTCTCTTACCCATTCATACCTCTCTCACACATTCACAGCCTTGTTTCACACCATTCATACCTATCTCACAGTATTCACACCTGCCTTACACCCACTCACACTCTTGTCCCACACTCATCCTCCTCCTTCATCCCTGGGCTGCTCCCACTACCCTGAGCTACCACTGTTCATGGCCTAGATTACTTACTGTATTCCCTTCTGTCTTCAGGACTCTTGACACTCTGGACATGAGCGTGTATTTTAAAGTGAAATCTGACTTTGTTATTTCCCTGCTTAGATCTTTTCTATGACTTCCCATTGCTCACAGGACAAGGACTGAATCCTTGCAGAGGCTGGCAGTCATTCTTGGCTTGGCCTGCCCCTCCTCTGACTGACATCCTGCCTGTCTGTTTATCAGAGGGCTTTTCTACTGTGACCTCTGCCCCTCAGGGCTTCAGCTCTCCCTGTTCTTTTTCTCTGTGTTGGTGACACTTCTTTTTGATTTGGTGGCCCTGTGCCCTGTGATTTCAGAACAAAGTTCTCTTGCAGTTCATAGGTGCACCTCATTCATATTTGCCTGTCAGACTGTGATCTTTGGGCATGGGCGCCATATTTGCTCAAGCTCCTGACTGGTCTCTGGAGACATGTGGTATGTGTTTGTGTTGATTGAATTAAATTGAGCACATGCACGGAAAATGAAATCTTCTTTGAAAAAATGGAAAACCTTCCAGGAGAGAACTGGAAGAACTCTCTGCTCTGTCCCAACCTCCCCCTCCCCCTTTCCCTCTTTCTGGGTTCTACAGCTGCTGATGCAGAGTGAGAATGGGTGATGGTGTGATGAGAAGGGCCCCGTGGAAGAGACTTCTTATGTGGCTGTCACACAGATGGCTGTCTGCAGTGGAACAGAGGCTGCATTTGGATCAACCTCTCGGAGAATTTAATCTCTTTTGGCACCTCTACTCTTGTCTTGTGTAACTGTGTGTTTGGGGCCTTTTCTTAACTTTCTTTCACTCGAGTTATCCTGTGAGACAGGCTGTCCCCAGAGCACAGTGAGACTCCAGGAGATCTGCTGAGATTCACCTGTCCTGTGTGAGAATCTCAAGTGGAGAACCTCTGAGTTAGGTCCTCAACTAGCTGAGTACAGCAGTGTTTGGGTTGGCCCTCTGTGGGCAGCTGTTATCTTGATCACTTCACATCTCACACCTGGCTGCTCTCTGCTCCTCAGTCAGAGCCACATTGTTCCAGAATCAACAAATTCGAATTCCTGCTGCCACACCTAGAAGATGCATCTAGAACCTTTTGTGCATTTGATGCATATCAGAATGACTTCTCTTAATCTAAGGGACCAGAGTAGAGCACATTTCAGTACACTGGGGAATGCTTATGTAATGTAACCTGGTAGAGCCATATCACAAGTCACTTTGAGAAAAGATACATTGGGAACTTTAGTACAGGTACTAAGTCATATTTACTGAGTGTATGATATGTGCCTGACACACATTTTAGCATATTATACCTTCAAATGCTGTGTGACATAAATATCAGTATTTTCTCAAGTTCCCAAGTATGTAGTAACCACAAGATAGTACAGACTGTACTCTGGAGCTTCATCTGCTTTGAATTTAGTAAAGCAAACACATAAGATAATGATCCCAAGTTTCTTTGAAACATTATTCAAAGATACATATTTATCCAACTCTCTAGAAGGCAAAAATATGGGTGATTTGTGTTTACTTTTAAAATATTTTTTATTTAGAATTTTTTTTTTATGTGTATGAGTATTTTGCCTGCATGTATGTAAGTGCATCCACATTGTACAATGCCTGCAGAAGAGTGTGCTGGGTTCTCTGGAACTAGAGTTACAGATGGTTGTTGGCTGCCACATGAGTGCTGAGAACAGAACCTGAGTCCTCTGGAAGAGCTGTCGGTGCTCATAAACCACCGATCCATCTCTGCATCCCCATGATTAAGGGTGATTTTTATTTTCTTGCTTATACATCCTGATTTTTTCCCCACAATATAGACATAACTTTTACAAAAAGAAAGAGGAACAGACTTCCTTAGCACTACATGTGTTCAAATAAAACAATAGGAAGAACAGGTTTCACAGCAGAATAATTATCCACCTTTCTACAATATTGGTGTCTGTCATTTTCTATTATTGGGAAGAAGGAACACCTCACTGCAATAAGCTGCACAAGGGAGCGTTCTTCAGACTCTGACTAGATGATTTGCTCGAGGTCAGAGTGAATTTGATCCAAGCTAATCCTCAAGCTTAATATAAGAAGTGTTTTTTATTTTGATTTATTTCCTATCAAAGTGTTTTGACTGATGTAGCCAAGTATACTTTCTTTCTACTTATTTGCGAAGACTTATCTGAGAGTCTCTTAGGTTACCTAGGGTCTGTTGTCACTCACTGGTCATATAGAAAATGCTCCCTACTCCATGAAGCATGACTGTCCTTTGTTTTACCAGTTAACACAACTAGAAGCAGTAAAGTGCTTCTGCTACACAGAAGGTTCTTCTCATCCTTTCCCCATGTGGAATTGGACTCTGTTGCTGATATTGTTCCCATAATACTGACAGTGTCTCAGACAAGTTACTTATATTCCTACTAGAAAGTACATCTTGCCCAGGCTAAGCCTTCCAGCTTGTCCAGAGGGCTGTGCTGTCTGTGCATTTGCAGATGCACAGTCTCCCCCAACGGAAACCTTGTGCTCACCTCTCTCTTGCAACTTGTCATCTCAGACCAATGTCCTCTCCTTGGTCCACACTCAGATTGAGGAAGTCCCAAGTAGGAAGTCTTTGGTGTAAGGTTGAAGAGACAGGCTAGAGAGAGATGAAGGGAGCCAGTTTGGGGAGCTTTCTGGAAAAGCAGAGTAGATGTTAACAGAGTGTTAAGGACGTCTATATAGCATTCTTGTTACCATATCAATAGTGTGTGTGTGTGTGTGTGTGTGTGTGTGTGTGTGTGTGTTGGGGGTGGGGATAATCTGAGAGGAAGGTTCTACTGTACCATCACCAAGGAAATAAAATATGAAGAGGCATGTCTAATCCATGTTGTAAACAATTACAGTCACCCATTGTCACCTGTCACATCTCGAGTACGCTATTTGGTTAAGTAAGCTGGCCATTTCCTTTTAACTCATCTGAAAAAATTTTAATGTTTATTCAATCTATCCTTTGAACAGCATCCTGGTGGGGAAGAAGTCCTAAGGGAACAAGCTGGGGGTGATGCTACTGAGAACTTTGAGGATGTTGGACACTCTACTGATGCAAGAGAACTGTCTAAAACATACATCATTGGGGAGCTCCATCCAGTAAGTAATTTGGGAGGGGGTTCTTTTTTTATTTCTTGAAGGCTACCATTTGACCTAGCCAAGTCTATGTTTGTGCTCACTCCTAGATGAAGAGTTAAGATGAAGAGTTATAAGTAGTCAATGGCTGATGAGAGAGGGAGAATCTGTTTTCTCCAGGGATGAGCTCCCAATAGGTTATCCATTCCCAAGTGGTCAACCATAAACACATGTAGGCAACACTAGATGAACTCTGTAGGGTGTGTGTGTGTGTGTGTGTCTAATAAACAATAGTAATTAAAGAAGAAGAGGTCATGATTTTGGGAGTGAGTTGGGGAGGAAATGGGAGAAATTGGCAGGGGATGGGAAGGAGAGGTGGAAAAATAAACTTCAAAAGGAACAGAGCAATATCACCTCCTCCTAATTGTAGAATACTTTGTTTGAGACAGGGTCTTCCTGAAGTGAGTCTTCCTGGAACTCACTCCTGCTTTTACCTCCCAAGTGGTGGGATTATAGGTATGCACTACCGTGTCCAACTAAAACACTGTGTTTGTCATAAGTTGATTTAACCTTTCTTAGCATTGTAGTTTTTGGGTTACAGTTACTGCTGTCACTCAGTCAGAATGCTCTGCCCAAGGCCCTGTTCTGGGGATGCTCCTGTCTCTGAAAGCCCATGGAGAGGCACATTCAAAGGGCATCAATTCCCTTTGATGAAAATTTTTTCCTTTCTTACTTTCATTAGTCTAAGGATATTTAAAATTTTTTAAAAGAACTATATTAAATTTATAGGCTCTGCCATGTTTATATGTACTTTTACAGCACCATGTCCTATTTCTGCTCACTTTACCCCAGACTTTTGAGGGTATCAGCTTTGGTGCCAATCCATTAGCTGACTTAGGGGAAACACTGGCCTCGTTTGATTTTATTTAATAAGCTCAGGGCTGAGATATGAATTCAGGCCCTTCTGTGACAGTTTCAAATGGTCAAACAGAATTTCACTGGTCTGTCACCCAAGTTCTGGGGAGCAGCTGAAGCCTTGGGTGGGGTCTCTGAGTTTGCTGGGTTTCAGAGAAGACTGAGTCCTAGATGGGCATTCAGCTGTGTTCTGGACCTGAGAATGCCTGACTTTCTGCTTTTCCAGCTTCTTAGTGCTACAAGCACTAGCTAGGGGAGTAGGGGGCGGCCAGGAGTACTCTTTTCATTAACGAGAGGTAAATATCAGCCAACAGTCTCAGCCCAACTGAGCAAACCGAGAAACCTTAAAACTAAAAAAGAAACATACATGCATATATTTATTTACATGTATATGAACTGTATGAGTGATGCTTCTTGTAATGACTGCACCTGAAGGAAAGGTAAAATTAGGCCCTCTTTAGGGAGAAATGTGTTTTAGATCAAGTTCTATAGAGAGAGAGAGAGAGAGAGAGAGAGAGAGAGGGAGAGAGAGAGAGAGATCGAGATCTAGTTTGGGTTTTGGTGAGTAGATATTTGTGCTTTGAAGGAGTCTGCCTTGCTTATGTGGAAGCTTATTTGCCCACATATTTTCATCATCATACTTCCCAGAAGTAAAATCCCTTTATGGTTGTTAGTGAGGGTTGTCCTTGTGAATGTTCCACCCCCTCCTCTTTCTAGTCCTATTCCTGTGAGGTGGGAAGATGGGTTTTAGGTTACCTCCCCGCTAGGTTTTTCTGTGGTCAGCCTTTAGATGCACTCGGATTTTGACATCCTAGGCTTGAGGTTTAAACAGTTTATGACCTTACTGTTGGGAGATTGCAGGGCTTCTCTGAGAACATCACAGGAGATGCATACCTCAGGGACTTGAGAGGGAGGAAGGAAGGGAGGGTTAGGTCTCCAGTTGGTCACTGAATTAAAAGTCATAGACCAACTATGTAAGAGTATACCTCAGTTTACCAATAAGACTGTCACTGATCCATTCTGAACTGTGGATATAAATGCCTCTCATCCCTAAATCTGCTGTTAATATTTGTTGTCAAGCCACATAGATCAAATCTTACAGTTAGCTTTATTGAACCCCAAATGCTAATTGCAGAATAGTAATTTTAAAAATTCTCAGTAAAAGCCAGCTCTTTGGAAATGAGACATTTACAGGTGTCTTGTTATTCTTAGTGCTTTTTGTTTTTTTGTTTTCTTTACAGGATGATAGATCAAAGCTAGCCAAGCCTTCGGTAAGTGCGAACATCTGAAGTTGGTGGTGGGTAGAGTTAATCGCCATATTGTCATTGTGTTGTATGTGTCAAACTGGGGGCAAAGTTCTCTTACCTGACTGAGGCCTACACAGGTCTTTCTAGGGAAGATGAATGTAACCTGTTGGCTTGGCAAAAGTGGTAGGTTTTGTTGTTGTTGTGGCAAAAGTGGTGGGGTTTTGTTATTGTTGTTTGTGTGTTTGCTTTTGAGACAGGGTCTCCCTGTAGCCCTAGCTGGCCTAGAACTCACTATGTAGACCAGGCTGACCTGGATCTCACAGAGATATACCTACCTCTACCTCCCAAGTGCTGAGATTAAAGGTGTGTGCCACCACACCTGGCAAAAATGTTATTGTTCTTTTTTTTTTTAATAGACCAGTCCCTATATTTTTATGGAGAGTTTGTATGTTATTTTATATAATTCTCAACATGTGAATTAAATTTTCAAACATTATAATTATGAATAACTACCTTGTGAGGTCTGGGTATATGGTTCATTGGCAAAATGCTTGCCTAACATGCATTAAGCCCTGAGTTCAATCTCTAGCACCAGAAAAAATAAGTAAAATAAAACAGCTTTGTGCTTCTGCTCTGAAAGATTTGATGTAAGTCTTATTTTCCGAGATTTTAAAACCTGATTGAATTGAGGTGCTTTCCCCTGACTCTGTGAAGGCCTTGTCTATCTCTCCATCCTCCTTGCATCTCTGGGGCATAGTAGGTGTGCAGAAAAGACCCTCACTTTACATTCTCATTCTCTGGCTCTTCCCTCAAAGCTGACCTTCTCACTTATATTTGCATATTAAATCTAGAGCAAGAATTTATGAGGATAGCCAAAGTTCCTAAAATGTATAAGTAGGCAAAATTTAATTCCTGACCTGCATGGAAAGAAGGATGAAGGAAATTTTTGTTTTTAAAAATGACAGCAAGAAGATGCAATTTTTTTGTTTTGGGGTGTGCATTCATGAGCTTGTAGTGAGTGCTGTCAGTTTACTGTCTGTACTGGCAGTAGATGTACAGCACATAATGTGAGCAGAAAGGCTCTGCATACATACTCTCAAATAGTGCAATGAAAAGTTCTCTGTAGTACTCTTTAGTAAAAGACAATTTCACTTTCCCCTTTCCCTGTTCAAAAAAGGGACTTGAGTTTAAGACTGGTAATATGAGCACTTAAGAAAGATGAAAAAAACCAGATTTTAGAATTTGAATGGCGTCTGTGACAGTTGCTCAGAATCCTGGGTTCATTTGATATGGTGCATATTTTTGGTGGCTCCTTTAGGACCAGCTGAAATAATGGTGTTATGCACAAAGTATTTTCATTTTTTTCTGAAGTCAGTCAGGGGAAATGTCTGGTTTTGTCCTGTTGTCTGTTTAGTATGTTGATGACCTTGGTGTAATTTGTTCAGTCGCAGGAAAACTAGGCTTTGGGGAGGCTCATTTCCTGAATTTCAATCTATTGTAGGCCATCACGTTGCTAACCATAGTGCTGCAGGTGTAGAACAGTAAGCATTTCCCACCGTGGACCACTTTTGAAGGCCAGCCTCCTACTTCATTTGCTTTTAGTACATGTGTATTGTTAGGCTGTATAGCTGTACAGCTCAGTTGGTAGAGTGCTTGTGGGTGAATGAGGCCCTGAGTTCAGTCTTCAGCATCACATATACTAGGCCTGGTGGTACTCACCTATAATTCTGAGCACTTGAGAGATAGAGGCAGGAGGACCAGACATTTAAGGTTGTCCTTGGTTACACAGCCAATTTGAGACTTGCCTAGGATGTATGAGAGCCAGTCTCAAAAAAGGGGTGGAGGGGCTGGAGAGATGGCTCAGTGATTAAGAGCACTGACTACTTTTCCAGAGGACTCTGGTTTGATTCCAAGAACCTACATGGTGGCTAATAACCATTGGTAACTCCAGTTCCAGGGACTCTGACACCCTCTTCTGGCCTCTGCGGGCTTTGCATGGCATGGGTGCACTTACATGCAGGCAAAACACTCATGCACATAAAAACCATTTTGATTGATGTTTGGAAAATCTGGGAACAGTGTGCTTACACACTGAATTCTGGGACTTGCACTGTCAGCATTAATGAAAGCAGTCCTGCCTGTGTTTCCTGGTGGGAGCCACTGCACTCCTGAACCACTTTGCTGTGTTTTATCACTTGCTGAGTGTAGAGCCTCTCAGTGGGGTCTACATCTTACTTTTTAAAGTAGATATTTTTACTCTGTACAGATTTTACAAGTAGACCAACTTTATGGTATTTTATCATTGAAAAAACAAAGCAACCTTTGTCCCCTCTTGGGCCTTGGCTTAAATCAGAGTAGAGCCGAAGGAAGGGGGGTGATTCCTTGGTAGTTATTTGAGAGACTGTAAGCAAGTGAAATAAAAGAAAATGAGCGGCCACTTTTCTAGGTTTTTCTCCTGTCAAACTGGGTCTTTAGGTTGTCCTCAATAGTGCGTGTATAGATACAGTTGTTATGTTGGAAAATGTGTTCTATGGTCGGATTTTTTTTTTTTTTTTTAATAATAGCATATGCTTAGGGCTGGATTTTGGCAAGGATGTGCAAAGCCTTCGGTCCAGTTCTCAGCACTGAGAAAAAAATGTAGCTTACTTAAAATGTCTAGTTTAATTGTAAGATAAGATATACCAAAGGTTGCTTGAGAAGGATTGGAAAAGTAAGAGCAGAGACCAGGGAGAACCAGAGCAGATCAGTGTGTTCTGGACATGACAGGATCATCACACTCATTAACTGACAGCAGCTGTGGTTGCCTGACAAGATCAAGTCAGTGGACATTTTAGCAGAGTGGGAAGGGGTTCATGAGCTACACCCCTCGCTGAGGAACTGTGGGTAGTTGTTGGCTTCTGGGAGAGGGAGAGTCATTTTTCTGTACGGGTCCTGGTAGGTTGACCCCACACCCCAAAATATATGGACAGCACAAATTGGAGTCAGTGAACTATTAAAAAAAAAAAAAAAAAAAAGACATGAAGTTGGGGGTTGGGAGGTAGAGATAGATCTGGAAGGAGTTAGGAGGAGATGGGGGTGAATATGATCAAAATGCATTGCTGAGATTCTCAAAAAATTACTGAGTATTTATTTTTTAAAAAAGATGTACCAAAGAGTATTAGCTTGAACCCGCCCGAGGAAGCACGGTGTTAGTTGCCAGTTATGGTATTTATAGACATGGAGATCGCACATCTTTAAATGTGCCCATATCAACCATGTTTTCTTACAAAGAAGGTGTTAGTAGTAACGTGCCCTTTCTTGTTTTTAATTTGCAATGTATTGTATAGGATGTGTCCCCTTGTGATACACAGATCTGCCAATGTCTTGAAGCTCTGTTGAAAGTCACACATCCAGCCTCCTGCTTGTCAGCTGTGGTCTCTGAAGGTTCTAGACCTCTTAGGAAGACCCCACCATCAGTTCTTTAGGGAGGAAATTTTCCAATAAAGGAGTGAGATAAGTCAGATGATCTTATAACCGAAATAACTGATTTGCAAAGACTTTTGTGGCTTTGTGTATTTTTATATGGAGCTTGTGATTTATACTGATTTGTGTGAATTACATGTCATTACACATGACATACGATAGTTTTTACTAGAAGTTGGAAGCCCTTCAGAGTAAAAAAGTGGCAGAGCTTATCATAAAAACTAGAATTTTAAGTTCCATTTTATGGAGGGTCATTGCTGCCAGTAGTGGTGGTAATGTGTTAGTAGCATTTACATTTTTTTTACATTTATATTGTGTGTGCATGCAGTGTGTGCATAACTGTGTGTGCACGTGTGCGAGTGAGTTCATACTACATGTGGACGTCAGAGGACAACTTGTGGGAGAGTAGGTTCTCTCCTTCTGCCATGTGGGTTCTAGGTTTGAACTTGGGCTGTTCAGCAAGTGCCTTTACCCACTGAGCCATCTTGCTGACTGTTAGCAGCATAGTCGTGTTTGAGACTCGGTACTTGAACCTTACAGCAGCATCTTAACATTAGCAATTGAGCCACCAAGGCAGGAGAGGCAAGAAAGGCCAGCTGAGGTTGTACAGAGTCTTGTAAAATGCATACACCCAATCCCAGTATCACAAACTAATGGGTGTACCTGTTTGCCCTGTCTCCTGTTTCATACTAACTGTCTAGCATGGTTGAATTGTACCTTCAGTGAGGTCTTTGATGTCATAACTGATTGTGCTTCCTCTAATAACTGAATAACATGATTGGCGTATTTGATTATTTCTCATAATCAGTGTTAATTTTACTCATATACAAAATTTGAAAAACAGTCTTGCAATAGCTATGATAACTAGGATACTAGGATTTAAAATTGCTTAAGTAGATAAGAGATGTGAAGTTTTCTTTTTAAATGACTGAATTTTTTTTCCTACTGTATCAGGAATCTTAAAGGTGGTGTGTCAAGGTTGGTGTGTATCCCTTAGCTGCTTGGCTTGTGTGTCCCTAAAATGATTTTGCCTTTCCATGGGAGTCTCTTCCATGTGCTTTGCAGGGGCAAAGCTGTGCCTTGCTGCAAACAGCTGGTTTTGCTGATGCTTTTTCTTCTGTTGCTACGCTGTAGACATGGTTCTATGGTGAAACTGCTTTTTTTGAAGCACTAATTGTTTTGCTGGTGTGAAGTATTAAAATAATGCTTCTTAACCTGTGTCAAAGCTTACAGCTATAGTTTTGGGGTGGTTTGGGGAAGTATGCATTTTTGCAGAGATGTTTTCAGTTCCTTTGATGGTCTTCACAAGTGCTCAGAAGGAGCTACAAGGTAAAAGCTGGGCTTCCTTACTTGTTGGTCAAGCAGAGTGGTCAATCAAGAGTCTTGCTGGTGGGCCTGGAGAGATAACTCAGTGGTTAAAGGTACTGGCTGCTCTTGCAGAAGACCTGGGTTTGAATCTCAGCACTCACATGGCAGCTAACAACCATCTGTAACTCCAGTTCCAGGGGATCCAACGCCCCCTTTTGGTCTCTGCAAACATTGCACATGTGTGCAATTATATGCTGCAGGCAATACACTCATACATATAAAATAAAAATCAATCAACCAAAAAAAGGGTCTTGCTGGTGCTGTCTCTGAGTTAAAGGAAGCTCAAATGTGAAACGACAATTCTTATTTTCTTCTTTTTGGTTGGCATATCTCTGATGTAATTTAGGTGCATTTTTAGACACTATCAGGTTTGAATGAACTTACTGACATTATGCTTTTGAAGAATTAAATTTCCTTTCCTAATCACAATGATGGGGTCTTGCATATGTATCTATGAGTATCTGTTTTCAATTTTTACATTAAAACTATTTAAATATTAAAAGTATTTCATGTAGATTATTGTATGTAGGCTATTAAGTTTTAATATATTCAAATTTATGCATTCATGTTCTTAAGTAATTTAAATATAGTTCTTAAAATTATATGTTCTTGGAAAATCGGGGGAAATTAGATTTTTTTTAGTAAGAAGAACTTTGATAGAATTTTTCCTTTTAAATAGGTTTTAAAAGACTATGATCTTATTTTAAAATAAGATTTCAGTCAATGGGATAAATGCTCAGGTATAACCTTAACTTTTCTTACGTTTTCTTTTGTGCTCCAGGAAACTCTCATTACTACTGTTGAGTCTAATTCCAGGTACGTGGTAATTGTCTTTTAAAGTAGTCTTGGTTTGGAGGGCTCAGGAGTCAGAGTTGACTGGCGCCTCCTCATCTGGCCCCCTTCTTGGATGCCCACTCTGTTTGTTCTCAGCCATCATCCCAGCATGGCCCCATGAAGTCTCAGCCCTTCAGGGCTTTCTATCCTAAACTGTTGTTCCAGCTGCCAGCACTCTCCCAAGGTGACTCCAGATATCATCTCTGGATGTTTCAACACCAAGGACCATATGGAACAGATGGACTCTCTGTATTCCGTGGCAGCCCTTGGGGTGATGAGTGCCATGGTCACTCTTATATTTCAGTTTCCTTCTTCCTTGACTCATGGACAGCTTCTTAAACTGTGGTGATTGCATTTCCCTAAGCATGGTTTAGTTCTCCTTTGTTGTTACACAAGTTGAACCTGGTAATCCTAATATAATGTGGCTCACTTGTTATGGGGATCAGATTCCCTTTTCCTTACTACAATCCAAGCTCATTTTTGGCAACTCTACCATGCTGACTTATATAATAGCCTTTAAAAAAAAAACTCAAGTCCAAAACCACACATTTATATTTTATCCTGTCAAATTTAATTGTCCCAGGTTCTTTTTTTTTTCTTTTTGATGTTCTAGAATGGTCCCTGCTTTCTGTTACTACTTCTTACCTTACTGTTTACTGACATGCTAGTTTCTCCCTAAGTGGAAATTACAAAACCCCACCAAACCCCACTAAGATGAAAAACTATACTTGTAATCTTTTCATACTTTAAATCTTTTTATTACACTTATTCTTTGGATGGATCGATACATTAAAATTATTTGAGCTTATTATGGCTGATGGCTCGCTCAAAATGAGAACCTTAGTCTTCTCATTCTCAACTTAGTGCCACTTAAAATTCTTAATTAATCCTTGTGACAGAATAAAACATGCCAGGAGCCTTCCCTTTTGTGACCTTATTGTAGGTAACTCAGAGTTTAATGTCAGGACCGTCTCTGCTCTTAGGCAGTGCCTGTTGAAAGAGGGATTAACAGTTCTCTGTATAAAAGTTTGTGGAAATAGATTGGAGCAAAGCATGGGTGTAAGTTTTCTTGTGGGGACTGCAGGGAAGAGCAGCTATGCCAGTATTCTAAGGTGTGCATTGTATCTGAGTTACTTTTAGCAGAGCTAAGCTGTCCATTTAGCCTAAATGGCTCTAGAGTTAAGGGAAACGTGCTGTGGCAGTTTTCCATCAGACAGAGCAAAGAGTTTGAGTTCCTTTCTTTAAAGATCACTCAAGTGCCTTTGATCATGTATCTTTCTAGTTGGTGGACCAACTGGGTGATTCCAGCCATCTCTGCCCTGGCCGTGGCCCTGATGTACCGCATCTACATGGCAGAAGACTGACTGCCTCTCTGAAGCCAAGGAAAGAAAAGACTTCCCTGGACACGGGAAAAAAGAAGCCAGTGTTAATCACTTCCACTGAGAGAAACCTTCACCTGAGAAAATAATTGTAATATATCTGTTTCCCTCTCCTCCTATATTAGGAAACTAAAGAAAAAAAAAAAAAAAAAAAAAGAACTCTTTCTACCCTTAAACTTTTCAAATGTGCCTTTTTCGTCATCAGTTTTATTTTGATGTTTCTTCACTACATAATTTACTTATTGTAAGCATGATCTTTTAAAAATATATCTGGCTTTTAAAATACACTTGTTTGCTCAGATTATTGTCTTTAATGTTTAGTGTCTTGGGTTATTTAACCGAATTGCTTAAATGTGCTAATCATTCGTACCCAGATTGTCTATGTGACATGATGTAAGGAACAGCCCTTGGTGTGTTCACATGTATTAAGTGCTCACTAATAATAGCAATATTTATTGCATGTTTCCACATTAGTCGCTTCTTTGTTTCTGTGACAAAATGCCTGACAGACAAGGTTTATTTAGGCTCATGGGTCCAGGAAATATCTGTCCATCATGGCAGGGAGGGTCTGGGAGCTGGGGTGGCCCCGTCTGTGGCAGCATGAGCTTGTGGTAGTGCCTCACATCTTGGTGAATCAGGGATCAGAGGGCTGAGGCCAGAATCAGAGGTGGGGATCATCTTCAAAGCCCACCTGCAGGACCCACTCATGCTAGCTTGGCCATAGTGGCAAAGGTTCCAAACCTCCTAACACAGAACTACTAGATGAGACCAAATGTTCAAACACAGCCTGTAAGGGACATTTCACATCCAAACCATAAATTTCCAATGTCATTTCTTTTTCAAGAAGATTAAGAAAGGCCCAGAAATTGTAGCTCAAAGGTTTAATTTAACATTGTTCTATTTGAAATACATTTCTAAAAGTGACAGTACCCTAAAGGATCTATAAACGAGACTTCACATCATCTATGCTTGGCAAACACCAGTAACAAAGAAACACTGGGGCTGGAGAGATGGCTCAGCAGTTACTTGTTGCTTTTGCAAAGGACCAGAGTTCAGTTTTTCAGCCTGAACATCTGATACCTCACAACCCCCTGTATCTCCATTTCTAGGGGATCTGATACCCTTCTGGCCTTCTAGGGCACCCTCATGCACATGAGCATAAATAATAATAAAACACATACAAATAAAATCTTAAAATACGAACTGTAAAAGTGCTGCCCTTTTTTTCAGTCTAAAAGTTATTCCCCAGAGGCTTTCAGTTTTATAAGTTCTAAAGTTCTAAGAATTCCCTATCCAGAGGGAAAACGGTTCATGTACTCTTCTTAGGAAATACCAACTAAGTGAGTCATCAAAACACATTTGACGATTGGGGGTGTTTGGTCTGGTTTCTTTGAGGAAATTCAGCTGCTGAGTGATGAGCCGGGGGTTTTGGTGTGGCTCTGTGCATCTCCTCACTGAGGCTCTGGTGGGTTGATTCAGGTCATCTGGGCATTTTTTCTGTTTTGTTTTTATTATTATTATTTTTTTAGAGACAGGGTCTCTTGTAGGCCAAGCTGGCTTCGAATTCACTATGTAGCTGAGGACGACTTTGAATTATCTCTTCCCAAGTGCTGGAATGACAGGCATGGGCCACCCCCTCTGCTAGTCATCTTGTTTTCCGTGTTCTGTCCTCTGCCTGCATTGTTAGTATTCATGATCTTTCATTTTAAACATAGAAATCCAAGGGAGCAGTTTGTTAGACTCTTAAGTGGTTCTGTAGTGAGCTACAATTGTCCTCACGAACACTGGTACAGAGGCTGGCTAGCAGCAGTGTTCTTCAAAAATAACATATCAGAAAGGAATTTTACCATCATTATAGAACATGAGTTTTTATAATCAATGACATGCATCACCCTTTGCCTTTTTTTTCTGCCAGTGCTGTGGATCAAATGCAAGGCCTTGTGTGTGCTAGGTACATGGTCTTCCACAGAGCCATACCCTCCAGCCACTTCTTTTCATCTTAACTGACTGCTTCTTATTGTGCAACAGATGAGCTGGGGCTTCCTTGGAACTGGATTGAAAGAATGGAGGAGGCTTACATACTTCCTGACTTCTGCCCTAGGGCAGGCATGCCCCTGGTGAATGCAGGCCTTCAGGAATCTCTTAAGAATAACATTCACCAGATGTCCCTCTGTGTGAGTTCATCCACTGGAGCCTGGTCAGCCTATCTAGTGTCATTACCTTGAAGAAGTTCAACTGTTCCCCCACCCAGCAGTGATCAGCTGCCAGCAGTCCCTCAGCTAAGGTTGAAGCTTCTTCCCGTTTCCCCAGTTCTGTGTTGGTTTTTGTCTGGTTTGAGACTCAATAGGTCTCAACATGTGTGACAGAATGCATGAAATCCAGTGGGAGAATGGGGCTAAAGGGAGCTGCAGATAGGGGAGGGAAATCTAAATATGATTAATGTATGAGATTCACAAAAATTCAATAAAAATATATATTGAAAAAGAAAAAAGAAAAATCATATTTGAAAGAAAACAATAAAAACTCACATTTATACCTGTAAGAAAAAAAATTGACACAAGTGATGAATTGTTGCTACCAGGAGCTATGCACCGAGTGCTAGGAGACCATGACTCCAGAGAAAATGCTTCCTACCCTTGGTCTCCTGCTGATCTGATGTGGGAGGGAGGGTCCTGGCTGGGGGATGGCAGGTCTACCTTCCCCAAACTCACTTTAAGTTTCATCCTCCTTTACTTTGCTCCCTGTGTGCTGTTTAGGGGGCTCAAGACTAAAGGGTAAAGAGCTGCGAACTGTAAGTTCATACATATTTTAAAGTATATATTTGTTGTGGGACCTTTGGAGATAGTTTTTAAAATTGTAGTTTTTTGCTAGAAAGCTTCAAATCTTAATTCGTCTATGAAGTGAATTGATACAGGTATATCATATCCCAGATGGCATCATGATTAATTTATAAATCAGTTTTAATGCCTGCTTATTTGGGAGAGAGGGTGTACATGCATGTGTGAGCATGTGAGTGTAGAGGTCAAAGGTCATCCTTGAGTAGTGGTCCTTAGGATCCGCCTTGTTTTTGGAGACAGTCCCTCAGTTGGCCTAGAGCTTAGGATTTAGGCTCCCTGGCTAGCCTGTGAGACCCTGTGATCTGCCTGCCTATCTCCTCAATACTGGAACTGTGGAACTGCAAGGATGTACCAATTTGTCCAGTTTTTTATACGGGACTGTGGATTGAACTCAGGTCCTCAAGCAAGTGCAGCAAGCATTCTATCATTAAGCTATCCTTTTAGCCCCAAATTTTACTTATTCTTAAGGAGGCTGTACCACATAGTGGAACTTTGACATTTTTATCACTGATTGCCTTGGCTGTCCATTTTTCTTCATGTGCCATGGAAATAACATACAAAGGAGGAAGAATTAGTTTATATTGTATTTTGAACACTTAGAGTTTGTGCAGCCAAAATTTCAAGTAAAACAAAAAGAAAAAACATTTTGTGTATATGACTGTGTGAGGTATATTGTGTATATGAGTGTGCAGATATGCCTCTGTATATACATGTAGAGGTCACAGCATGATGTCAGTTGACTTCCTCTATGGCTGTCTGCCTTATTGCTTGAGACAACATCTCTCACTGAGCCAAAAGCTGGAGTTTCAGTTAGGCTGGCTGGACAGCAAGCCCTTCAGATCTACCTTTCTGTCTCCCAGTGCTGGGGTTTTAGTCACATATATCCATGCCTAGCTTTTTATGTAGGTGCTGGGGACTCGAACTCAGGTCCTTATGCTTGCAGAGAAAGTGCACCTACCCACTGAGCCATCTCTCCATGCCTGACAAAAGATCTTTGAGAGTTCCTGAAGCTGTCATTGCTTTTTACTTACTGACTCACATAAATAGTAAGCTGGAGAATTGCATGAGGTGCCCCAGTAGTCTCCCTGTTCCTGGTAGGAGCCCAGAACCTGGGTCAGGCGCAGCAAGTGTTCTCGTGATCTGGTTCACTGGCTTTTCATGAATGTGAAAGTGCTTTGTGTAGAGCAGGTTAGCCTCCCTGTCCATTAGGAGGTGTCTAGGCAATGCCAGCGGTAGCTCTGGGAGCTGATTCCCTTAGCAGTATCCCCTCTGAAGAGTGTATGGAATTGTGTTCGTGTCCTGGTGCTGCTGGGACAAAGCAGCTCAAACTTGGTGGCTTAAAACAGCACAGTTTGCTTATCAAGATTCTGAAAGGCAGAAGTCCAAACTGAAGAGTCCAACTGGGCCTGGCTCCCTCTGAGGTTCTGGGTGGTCTGTGTTTGCATAGAACTAGCTCTGCACCTGGGTATACAGGGGTCTTTTGGACCAGACCAGAGTTGACTAAATGCATTCAGATTGGCCTAGAAAAAAGTCTGTACAGGGATAGGGGTATTGAAAATACCATCATTACCAGTTTTTATAAGGAAGAGAAATAAATGAAACAAATGTGCTTGTGTTAACAGACTAGGTCCTCCATAAAAAAACAATGCAAAATGTGCAATTACAAAAATTTTCACATCTAATTCAAATAAGTTTAGAAACCATTAAACAAGAGCTGGGGAGATGGCTCAGCACATAAGAGTGCTTGCAATGAAAGCATGAGGACCTGAATTCAAATCCCCAGATCCCACAAAATTAGCTGGATGTGGCCATGTATACTTGTAACCCCAGCACTAGGGTAGAGGGAGGGATGGAGACAGGACGATCACTGGCTTTCTGGTCACCAGCCTAGCTCCTGTCTCGAAGAAATAATAAAGTGGAGAATGATTGAATAGGACTCCCAACATCCTCAGGTCTTGACAGTGCACATGGACGTGCACCCCCCCACGTGTGCATACACTGCACACACACTGCATACTTGCATACACACATATACACACTCAGATATATGAAAGAGAAGCCATCCAAATGACATGCTATCATTTTTAGGTTAAAAGTTCAATTTGCTTTAATACTCTTGGAGCCACAGAGAATTCTGAAAAGAGCTGAGAAAGAAGAAGTTCCAGCTGAACTTGTTTCATATAATTAAGTGGCTGTTGTCCAGTGAGGACCATCTCTAACTCTGAACCCTCTTGCTTTGGGATGCTAATGTCTTATTGTTACACTGGATTGATTTCTCCTTTGTGATTTTATCTGTCATGCTTTACAAGCCACTAGTGATTTAGGGACAGTTCCTTAGAGATGTGCCAGTCATAAAACTTCGATATCGTAATGAAAGAAAGTAGCATTATCTTCACATTCAGATTCTCACTTCAAGTCAAAGACACGAGAGAAGATCCGTAAAAATCTTG